CCCACCACCCACCCTGCACCCCGACCCCCCCCCCCCACACACACACACACACCCACCCCGCCGTCATTTTTTCAAATATTTTATTTTGGACTATTTCTTGATTTATGTGTCATCCTTGCGGTGGGGCCATGCTAATCTTCTCTTCTCTGTATCATTCGTTCCAATTCTAGCGGATGCCCCTAAGGACCCCAACTCCCTTTTCCCTGTTTTTGAGGACGTACCTCGTCCAGCGCAGCGCTTAACTGCTTGGCTTCAGCCACTAGTCCAAGTGCCACCAGTTCAGCATAATGCTTCACAACGATCTCCACGAGCGACTGCTTCTCCACCTTTTGCAACTTAACTTTCAATCCTTCAACGTCAGAATCCTCTTCAGTTCCACTGGGATGCCTTATCGGCACCTCAGAGTTCGTACCGTTGCCGTCTCCTCTTCCTTGTCCGCCTTTCGCCCTCAAGTTGGAGTCATCTAAAAAAATGCTATTTGAAAATAGTTTCAATGGCACCCTACCCTCTTGAGAGAGGTCTGTGAGAACACCATTGCCTGGTTGATGAGATCGTAACCTTTCATTGACGGCTGCTCTCACATTCTGACCAGGAGATCTCTGATAAGGCAAACGATCGTACCATGCTTTCAAGGATTCATCGAAGTACTTCACTCTCTCGCTACCGATACCCAAGGAAGAAACAGACTTCCTGAGAGGTATTCTCTGAGGATTTGCCAGTGACGAAGAGGAGGCTTCTCCATCTCCTCCTCCTCCTCTTCCTGTCTCTCCAGTGGCCATGTTGCGTCCTTGCGTTGATCCTAGAAGTCCCGAGTCTGGCTGGGATTCGGATTGCGTTCTTTCCATCGCTGCAATCGGATTTCCTCCTGTTCGTCCTCGCATTGATCCTCAAAGTCCCGAGTGTTGTTGGGATTAGAATTGCGTTCTTTCCATCATCGCAATCATATTTCCTCCTGTTCCTTGCTCTCACTGCTTCAGCCGTTCAATGCCTCATCTGCAGCATCAGCATTGCAGCAGCCGCAGCAGGGGGCACCAGTGGGAATGCACTAAGCAGACTGCAGACATTTATGTACCTGACATCCCCTCTTCCTCCACCAGCAAGCAGCAAGCAAGATCTGGAGGGGGATGAACCCCCCTGACGTTTCTCTCTTTCGCCGCAGCAGGCAGCTAGATTCATCAAACTGACAACATCTCTGAGAAGTCAGTCGAAATGGGCTGGCACATCACCCCCTGGCGCATCAATGACGGGTGGCATGCACCACTTGCAGCGCCAGACGCATAATTCACCATGAGGTTGCGTTTTGAAATGTTCACAGATTTGATGGAATGGATTTCTGATGCTGCGGAGCAATCTTCACTGATATGGAATCAAACAAACATGGACTCCAACTGCACCTGCAGCGTGGTCTATGACAACCTTCGAGGTGATTTGACCGACCATGCAATACCTGCAAACGAATCAACAGCACGCACCCACATGAATTCAATTAAATTTGCAGAAAGAGATTAATTGAACAAGTCCTTTAAGTCAATTACTTATTACTGTCGAAACAGTACTCAATCAATCAACTACCTTTGAGGAAAGGGGCGGGGGGGGGCAGGGGGGGGGGTTGCGCACAGAGGCACTACTATGTTAAATAGCATCCATCTATCTATCACCCATAGATCTGGTAGTGCAAGATTAGCATGCTGTCTTATGGTACATAGTATCAATCGACCTACCTATCTGGAATAACTAAGACAGGGTACTTTTAGGCCCTGCGTGTTGATCGATGTTGGGAAATGTTCAATCAAAGAAAATGTTCAGTCAGAATCAACACTATGTATGAACGTTGTTCCAGCAAACCTTTGTGGTCAGTCTGTGGCTGCTGTAATAAGAATAATAGTAAGGAGGTTCTACATAACTTTTCTCGCGATTGTCCCTCTCATGATAATGCCCATCCCACGAGTATGCTGTCGGATTCGCCATCCGCAGTGCCAATTCCATTACGAGCGCCTTTCCGGCATGCCGAGGAACTTTATTTGATCATTGCATTTCAGAAGGGACACACAAGAAAGAGAATTGGTAGCTCAGTGGGTATACAACCCGGAGCCAAGTCCAAACGTACCCAAATTCTCGATTTCCGACGCTAGATTATGACGATCAACAATCAGAAATGAAGCTCCGGGCCAAGTGGGACTTGCCCCCCTGAGTTGCACCGTCGAGGGCCTTATCCCACTGCCAAGGTGATAGGGTAAGACAGGATCGCAGTTTTGGGTTCGACCAGACTTCCTTTTGTGCTTGTTTGGGTTCAACCAGATGGTTAAAAAAAAAAAGATTTTAACATCCACCTGGGACTACTATTAGGGGTGGTACAAGCACTGTCAAGCAGCCTCTAACAGTAGTGGCCCTGGGCATATGGCTCCAGTCTATTGGTTGGGAGCTTCACCCGCTGGAAATCGGGACCAGCATCCCATACTGAGTACAAACCTTGGAACGGATAGCACAAAGAAACGTGCTGCAGCATTGATTACCCTGCCAAATGGTCAGGGGATTAACTAACAGCGACTAGGTGTGTGTAAGGATGCTGAGTAGGTTTTGTGTAAGGATGCTGAGTAGGTTTTGTGTAAGGATGCTGCCTCTTCAGCCTGAGCTCAGGCCGCCTGATAGGAAATGATGTGGCTAGCAGGGCTCTCCTCTCTTGCAGCACCAAAAGCCTTCAATCAAGGTCGTATGTGGGCAGCACTGGGCATCAGTGGATACCCTGAGGGGCACCAGGACACCTCCTGCATTTCAGGTTGTAGTGAAAGGGAAAGAAAAAAAGACGAACCGCGGGCGATCTAGTTTTCAATCATACTAAGTCTCCTGGGTCAGCTATTGCAGAGCTTTTTCACGAGTGCAGAGCAGTGTGCTGGAAAGTGTCTTGGAGAGAGATCTATCTATTAGACTTGTTCCTATTCATCAACCAGTGAGGCTGGGACTGGTAGGAAAAGTTATACTGGTAGGGAAAACTTATAAATCCCGCTCGTGGCAAAACCTTGGTGTTTGTTTGGCCCTAAATGGTGCAAAAGGTGTGGGAGGCCCAAAAATGAGCTTTCATGTCAGTTTTCCACCTCGGCACAGCCTTGAAAATCTTTCACGGTGCAAAAGGTGTATGGTACCCTGTTGAGGGTGGTGACATTGAGACGGCTATGATTGCACTATGATACCCTGTTTAGGGTGGTAACATTGAGATTGTTATAACTACAGATTAGAGGAACGAGTATGAAACAGCGGGAACACTGGGCTGGCCACGTGCTCAAAGTCCACACAAACGAGTTTACATTGTATTATACAATGGACGCTGGGCCCGATTTCCAGCAGGTGCAGCTCCCCACCAATAGATGGAGCCTTTAACACCGGGTCCCACTTAATGAGGATGTTTGCATCACCTCCTTAAGTGGACTTCCCGAAACTGAAGTTTACAACAAAAAAAAAAAAAAAAAAAAAAAAAGTGTGGGAGCCCCTAAAACGAACTTTCAAGTCAGTTTTGCACCCCGGCAAGTGTGCATAGCAATAGTTAATACCACAGATAGTAACGTAAGGAGGAGGAGGAGGCCGGGGCCCAGGGGGCCAGGCCTCCGGTGGTCGAAGACAGAGCGATCAGGGGGTTGGTGGCAGAGAAGGCCGCCAAGCGGGAGGTAGGGGTCAAGGTCCCCCGCAAAACCGCTCTCGTTTTAATCGGTCACCTTCTAGGAGGGGTGGATGGCACCCTGGTCTGCCACAAGGCAGGCCTTGGGAAGATCTGGGCTTGGAACAGACTGTGTGGCAAAGGCGAATAGACCAGGAGGGGCGGGCGAGGGCGCCGGGATCGCAAGGGTGGGAGAGGAGGGGGAGCGGGAGTCGGGATTGGGGAAGGAGTCGGGATCGGACCGTCGGGATCGCAAGGGTGG